CAAAATCAAGTCGCTTCTTATTCGGCCATACCGCCCGCTGAATACTCTCAGAGGTTACAGCCTCTACCCGTACGGGAGGTGGCGCATTCCAATGACGTATTTAGAAGGCTGACGTTGAGGTGGGTCCAATGCAATGTCGTGCTTCAACCATCGTTTCCAGGCTTGGATTGCGTATTCGAAATGGGAGCGAACATACGCATTGAGCATCTATCTGAAAATGGTGGTGTCTAGTTGCCCCAACACTCATCGTAGCAACCCGACGTGCTGTTTGCCAGTTTTCGAGGCCTTTGCGGATTACTTAGAACAACCCAAGTTATCATGAACAAAAGCGCTAAGGTCGCGTTCGACGAATGACCGCTGCATTACTATCGTTTTTAGCTTGTTGGAATAGGTCCTCTGGTGTCGTATGGAGAGTACCTTGCATTCATCCACGTAGAACAGTGACAGATTTCGGGTTGACCAATCATGTATGGTATCTAGGGCACACTGAAGTAAATTCTGATCGGCATCCGCCTGAATCCGGCACCACATCTTGATATCGTTAGCAAGCAGCAGAACATTTGAAGCGGTCTTCCGTGCAAGGTCATTGATGAATATCGAAAACAACCATGGACCTAGAACTGAACACTGGGGCACACCAGACTCGACTGGTATGGGTTCAGGAAGGGAACTCCGGACTCTCACCATTAATTGTCGTTGCAAGAGAAAGGGGGCGATCTAGCTCAAGAAATGGTCACCGATCCCGTAGTATTGGAGCTTGGAAAGGAGAAACCGATAACCTAAACGATCGAACGCCTTCGACAAATCCAAGTAGATCACATCAACGACCTCGGCATCGTCACCTGACTCGGGCTAACTACTCCACGCGATTAATACACTTGTCATGCATAATCGCTGTTGATGGAAGCCGTGTTTCTCGGGAGCAATAATGTTACAGTTTTCTAAATAGCACACCAACGCATCAGCTACGATCGATTCCATGACCTTGGATAATACAGGGAGAACGGGCACTAGGCGGTAGTTTGAGGGATCAGTCCTGCTTCCGCCTTTTTGAATCGGAGTTATTATTCCAAGTTTTCACATCGCAAGAATCTGGTTCTGGTCGAAACAGCGATAGAACTGTGCCAAAGGTTTTGCCAGTTGTCTTGCTGTTGCTCCCAGTGCCTCTGGGAGAATGGTGTTGACTCCAGGGGAGGTGTGGTTTCGCAGAGGCGTCAGCTACTGGAATACAGCTTCGGCAGTAAAAGAAATGTGGGTGAGTTATGGAGGCGGGGAAACAAAAGTTGGAAGACGACCTGATCTTAAGACTCTCTGAGATGTGGGAGCATATTGCGTCCGCAACGCGTTTGCTGCTTCTATAGCTCACCTAGTTAGAGCATCAGTCGTTCGGAGCGAAGGAATTCCCTGCCTCACGATGGCCATTGATATATTTGTACGGCAGTTTTTGGTTAGCGCTAAAAGTTTTCGCCATATTCTGTGTGTGATTTTGTCATCTCAGTGCAGTTGAGTACATTGGTTACGGTGGGCTATGTAGTTGTCCCAATTATCTGGCATTGGATATGATCTATACTCTCGCCAGGATGCTTTGCTTGTAGTCATCCATTTTCTAATTTTACTCACGAAAGAAACTATTTTGGGCCCGTTGAAACACTTTGTCTCTGAGGCATCTGTAACCAGTTGATTGCATTCACTGACGAATTCAATCCAAGCGACTTCCGGATGGCCTTCAGCGAGGAACGACCAGGTTGTGGTACTGACGAGCTGGGCAAATCGGTCGTAGCGCGTGATAGCGCACACCAACTCAGGGTTCAGGTAGCGGTATTCCGCATAGCAGATGAAGTCGAAATGGATGCGAGCATGATCACTGCGGCCCAAGGGGTATTCTACGATCAATACATCAACCATACGTTCCTCATTGGTGAAAACAAAATTCAGCAAAGGTCTGTTACCTGTTCTGAAACGAGTGGGCGTAATGACGTGATTGTAAAGTGGAACACTGGTCATAGGTTCTTGTAGATCTGCTTTTAATGGCTGTCCGATTGTAGCAGGAGTTCCTAGATAGTGTACATTGAAATCATCCATGATAAGGATGTGAATATGCTTTCGCTTTAGGCTGCATCCTAAAGCTGTCGCAACTTGGCAGCCCATTTCCGGTGTAGAGTTTGGTGGTGGTATAGCAAAGCTATAGTGCAGCTGTCTCTGCCATGTAACTGCAGATGGCACCAAAGCGAATCGGCGAAATGTACGTCCGAATCTTCAACGGCCTCGCACTGTAAGTCGCTTCGGTAATACAGAATTACCCCTCCTCCTTTCGTAAGCCTGTCGTTTCGTATGAGTGACATGCCGGCAGCGAGACTTCAACGTCTGTCTTTCCAATGTGCAACCATGGCTCTGTGACACCGATAATATCGCATGGCTTCAAAATTTGGCGGTCCTTCAGTTCGGTCAGCTTTTTGAAATGGCCTTGAGCATTTGTATGAAGACAGCATAATTTCTCGATCTCTAGAAGCCCACTGTGAGCCAAAGGAGTCAATTGTGGTAGGATGCCGACCGGTGCGATGTCGGCCATTATTCGTTTTTTGATGGGATGATGATGACACGTCATTCGCAAACTGGTTTTGCCAAGGTATGTCGCATTCCTCCTCCGTACCTGCTGCAGTAACGTGATGCCCATGCGTAATCGCTGGTAGGGTCGCTTTTGCAGGTAGGCTTCTGTCTGGTCTTCGCAAGGATTCAGCAGCTTTTAACCGAAGTTCAGATGGTTAGCTTTTAAGATATCTTCGCCAACGTTCTAACACTTCCGTTGCTATCTGCTCTGACTGAACCAGGAGTTTTCGGATTCTTATTCCGCTTCCTCTATAATTCGGTGAGAGAGGTAACCTTTTGAGCGATCTCGCCACTGGGCAGTTTCTACGATACAGATGTGGCAGAAAAAGAGATGTTAGTAAGGGATGAAATTGAAGCGAAAAATTTAGGTACTCCACTCTTGCAGGCGTCTCATTGGATAATCATGGGCATTCTGTATCCCTAGGATGTTGGCTGCTTTTCCAGCGCTCTATTCTACTCCGACTGGCGTGTTTAGTGAAGGATTACGTGCTTCATTTTTCGAACGGTGTTAATATGTCTAGCTAGGAGCATTTGTTGTTAATAAATTTTGAAGCTAAATGACGTTGGTGAGTCAATCGTTCTCACGGACGAGCCTACTGCAATGGTTACGCTGAGTCACGTAGTTTCTCCAGGTTTCGGGACCAGGACGGGCTCCATAAATGTGTCAAATTGCATTCCATAGTGACGCGTCTTCGAGTTCTATTACTGATGAACGACGATGGATTGGTAGAACGAACCCTTTTAGTTTCTGAAGCAACTACGAGCAGATTGCTGAAATGTCCAACAAACAGCATCCAGGCGGTAGTCGTGACCAGATCGTTCAGGATACTGTAGCAGGTGATGGTACGTGTTAGTTCAAAAGTTTTCTCCGGATATTCAGCGTAACACACATAGTGAGAAGATATGACCACTTAAATCTATTACTGACCTGTCGACCTTGAGTTTCGCGTTCGTAATTACGAGGTCTAGTACCGATTGTTTTCAAATCCGTAACTTGTAAGTGAAGTAATGTGGTTGCACAGTGGAATACAAGCAATACGGTCTTACTATTCGTCTTGAATTGTTCATTGTTGGATGCTAGGAGTTCCAGGTTGGGCACGTTGTACCGGGAAGGTGACTGGAAGTTAGGGGTACGATTTTTATCCGTACTTATCTCAGGCTAGTATACACATCTCTGGAGTAGACGATGGTAGGTGACAAAAAACTGTCACAAAGCCGTTGTCATTGTATCTGCGACACAAACGGCACTATAGCGAATTGATAACTCGCGGCTCCGGATCGTCAATGCTCTCCATTCTGGGTTGTTTCGGGAGTATAAGATTACACCACCTCCCCTGCTTGGACGATCGTGTCGAAACAATGACAATCTCTTAACCGCGTTCTCAGCGTCTGAGTGCAACGAGGTCTCGGTCATGGAGGTGAGATCCCAAGCGTCCGTTGCCTGATGCAACCGAGGCTCGACGAGTTTACTGACCAGGCTTTGGACATTGGTGTACATGCAAGAAAATTTTTCGGATCTCAGCATTGCTCTAGGTAATATGCTCTATGATATAACTTTACATTACAAGTCAAACTTTTCTGAATAAACGTCTTTTGTAGTCTTTAGGTACAATTATGTATTTTATCACGTTTAACACATTACCATTTAAATTATATACTGTACTATAATCCAATATTTGTTTCCCTTCCGGAAAATAACAATATCGGTTAATCGTCCACCCCGCTTTATTGCCCACTTCTGAAATATCCCCATGATGCGTAATAAAGCGGGTTAGACTGTACTACGTATGCCTGTTCACCACTTACCTAGGAGAGCCTTGTTTTGTCTGCCAGATATAGGATGGTGCAAGGCTCGAGGTGGACAAAAGTTGACTTGACAGCGGGAAATGAAGTCACTTATCACTAAACACGGTCCGGGCTAGAGTCCATGTAACCTACCTTGTGCTTGACTCGAGACTTTACACGACATGGCTCGCAGTCGATACCAGTGGTGCGTCGGCTGTCATCTCCTAGTCGGACTGTCTGTTTAAAGTGTGTTTGGTGCTGAGTTCTCTTCGGGGTAATGACTTATAATGACGCGGGGCAGTGAAAGCCCCAAGGAAGCTGTTTCGTTCATGCCGTCTTATCTTTACATTATAGCCAGGTGTTTGTGACGGTATGTTGATAACACAGGGTGTAAGCGCCTTGATCCTACATGTTTGCTTAGGACAAGAAGGTTTTCGTGTGAGTCCCCCTTCTCTCCCTCTTATTATTCTTTATTCCATAAGTCATCATGGTTGTATGGCAGCGAAGCAGCATGGCTGATGTACTTCTGTTGTTGATTGTTTGAGTTTTCTTATGTGTTTGACCTTATTCTCTGTGCACCTGATCTACTTCTGTATGCTTCTTTTCAGACTTGCCTGAAAAAGGACCAGGCTATTCAAGAGGAAGTGACAGCGTTGAAGGAGAAGGTAATAGAGTTCGCAACGAAATTCCCGCTTCCAGGAATGGATTATTAGGATTTTTTGAAATATAGTGACTGTCTTCGTACCTTCACTTCTGTTATATCATGACAAAGGCTGGTTGGATACTTTCGCACCTGGCTGAGCGTAACAGCCATCGACAAGCTATTCCCCCGGATAGCAAATCTGGCATATTGGAAGTATTGTATTTTCCTCGGGATGATTCTAGGATAACATTGTCATTACCGGTTCACTGTGCTCGGTTAGTGAGGACATAAACGGCAGTTATTGCAACACGGATGGAAACAGCGAAACGATGTATACAAAGTAAAAATGAACTGTAGTGCCAGGGGAACAGAGATGGGGCTATGGTAAACCAAATGGATAGAAAGCTGGCTAGCCGAACAACCTCGTAGTGTCAGCTGGGTGGTTCGCGTTTAACCCGTTCCAGCAAATAGTTCGGCGGCAGTGTTCCACGATGTGGTAGGTTTCCGCCTGGTAAGCGTACTATTTTTTAACTAAAAGGCCACAAACGTCTATTAACAACACTGTGACGTGGTGGTCGTGACACGCCACAAAATAAAGTCACTACCCCCTGGATATCCGGATATAATCCTTTCCAACTCACGGACACCAATCTTCTACTCGCACATTGTTGACGATATCAAACATTGAAGAATAGAGCAGCACAAACTACAAAGCTACACAGGCAGACACACACAATTACATATTTATATACCCGCTACACAAACATACACTGTTATGGCAGACATATCTGATTTTTGCACATTCTTGATCACGCATTGTTATGTCAGGATCATGCCTGTAAAGGCGTGCCTCGTCTCGCTGAGAATAAAAACTTTATTTATTTAACGTTTTCATTCGTTCTCCGAGCTGAGTAATTTAGTGACAAATGTTTCACCACTTCCCTCAGTGGCATCTTCAGTGCACTGCTCCGTAGAGGAAAATTTCACGGAAAGTGTCGTCGGGACCTAGCGTTTGAAATTAGCCTCGTCGATCTGTGTCCCGTGACCTCTGTTTGTTCGATTTTCGATCGCCCATTTGCACTCTTTCTCAGCTGTAAGTATACAGGATCGAGGTAAATGCGGAGGTTCAGTGAATTCTCCGTAGAGAATCATGCCTCGAGGAATTCCTTTCCTTTTCTTGCCCCTCCGTGCGCCAGAATTTCTGTTTTATCCCAGTTAATGTTGTGTCCTTCCTCATCGAGGTGCGCTGAGATCTGTGACGATACATGATGATATCGACACGCACGCTTGTGCTCTTTTATTCTTGTGGATAGTTTTCTCCCCGTTTGACCTACATAGTCTTTGTCACAGTTCTCGCACTGTATCATGTAGACAACCTTTTGGCTTTCGTGTATCTCCAGTTTTTCTTTAGGCCTAGATAAGATTTTTTCAAAGTCGCAGTTGGTGTGTGAGCTATCGTCAGGTTGTGCGGTTTGAGGAGTCTGGCTGTCTTTTCCGATACGTTTTTGATGCACGGCAAGAGGATGTGTTTCGCCGTTGTTGATGCAGGTGCGGTAGTTGTGCTCCTTCGCTTTAGGTGTCTTCGGATTAAACTGCGTGGGTAGCCGTTGCGAATGAAAGACATTAACAGATGTTCCTCTTCCTTTCGCTTTGCCTGCGCAGTATTGCAATGCGATTCTATCCTACGAAACAGCGTCCGGATACAGCTTATTTTGTGACACTTAGGGTGATTGCCGTTAAAGTTCAGGATTTGGTCGGTGTGTGTTGCTTTTCTGTAAATTGATGTTTGTAATTCGCCTTCCACTGTTCTGGTAACCAGCACCTCCAAAAAGGATAGTTGCTTTTCCAACTCTTCTTCCATAGTGAAACGAATGCCTTCCATTGCATTGTTAAGTAGGTCTTGCGCGATCTTTAGCTGGTTGCGTTTGAGAATCACAAACATATCGTCAACGTACCGCACCTATAATTTCGGGCTTTTGTCATTAAATTACTCAGCTCGGAGAACGAATCTAAACGTTAACTACCAACTCGAGCTACAGGTATTCTGAATCATTGCAAACAATCTTTATTTATTTATTTGTCCATTTCGGGTTTACTATGCTCCCATAGACTAGAGTTTACCTTCCAACGCGATGAGCATGCTAGAGAGAAGTGTAGTGGCATGCGGCAATTTTTACGTCATAAAATGAGTTACCCTTCATTCGAGTCCAATCTGATGTTTTTTTATGATTTGAACCAGTTCCTGCGCATGTGACTTCATGAGACTCCAATTTCGACCGAACCGGCATATCTGGAAGAGGCGATACAGTCCTCCGTCCAGATTTTGTGAAGCAATTTCAGGTTCTGAGTGCTTGTCAGCGAACATTTCACCCGATTTGTGTTGTATCGAAACAGTTTAACTCAGTAAGAGCAGGGGGAGAGCCGGATTACGATGGAAAGGAAGACGGCGCTGTTTATCTTTTATAAGGCTTAGCGATCAAAACCAACCAGGGCACTGAAAAACCGTCACCAGACATAGCCAACAAGGGCAGAGTAACTGAAGGACAACTGGATGCAAACGACGAGGAACAAGCAATCGCGTTGGCGACAACGTGGGACGATGTTCCACGAGCAAATAAACGACTTTTGACAACCTATGGGGTTGACAAAATAACATCGCAAAACCATTGTCAATGAATCAGCAAAGTAGATAGATAATTCTGAGGTATGAACATTTTGCATATGCATTCTTGATTCTCAGAAGCAAATTGGGTGTTGCGCCCCTGAAAACACTGCACTCCAGGCGGGCAACGCCCAATTTGCTGCTGCTTCATCAACTACAGTCCTAGTGATCGAATGGCCAAGGTTCACTTCATTAGGAATCGTGGTCCACTTTGAGATTGCGCGTGGCAATCCATCCACACAATGTGTACTGCAAATTAACTCTCCAATCATTCTTGATTTGTTTTTACTCTTCTGACACTTTCACTTCTTGAAGAATGAATTTACCCCTGGATCCACATAGCTCTTGCGACGGGAATCTATATGGGATGGCTAGACAAATCTTCTCCTTCTTTGTCTCAACTGTGTCTCATATTTCTGATATGATTCAAATAAACTCAACCATTAGAACAGAAATACTGCGCCATACCCAAGAGTTTGGTTCGCTATTGCACAGCTTCACCTCGCTCGACGAGAGCGCAGCACACTCGTAAGGAAATAGCTAAGGCATTTGGAACATTGATTTCCTTTTCTTATATATTTTGGCAGGCAATCAGCCCACAGACTGTAATTTGGCAGCGTTAGGCGACACTAGTTTATCTATCAATGCAACTCAACCCGTCGGCGTTGCTTGTCCGTTGAATCCTCCCCGGTCAATGGCTAGCCGAACAACCTCCTCATATCGTATCGGGTGTTCCCCGTGGACCCACATGGTCACGAGAGTCCTGTTACAGGGACTTTTGAAAAGAGTAGTTGTCAAGTAACCAGTTCGGTGAGCGGTCGCACCGTTTTAGCTCTTCTATCTTTTATCGAATTTTCCGCTACCTGCTCGTCGCACTCTGACGCGTTTACATCCATCCGACGTGGATTTACCAACCCCATCCAGCAGATCTGTTGTTAGGCTTTATTTTTCCCGCATCACCGTTCCATGCACAACTACTGTTCTCCTAGAAATCCTGCGGAAATACTCGTGCAATTGCCTCCTTTTTTTGCGCATACCCTAAAGTTTAGCTTCATTCGAGGGAGAACCCTTGCGCTTTTCCAAGAGCCCGCTTAGAAACTGCAGGCGTTTTACAGTCACCAGCTTCAAGCCACTCCGCCTAAATTGATCACAGTTTGCAGCCTTGGTATCCTTCTTTCTTGAATTTTTACCGCAAGTCCGCATCGACCGACACATAAGTAGAATGGATTGATATACACACACACAGTGTAAACCGTCATCGTATGAAGTTGCCGGATAAGTGACCCTGCCACCTTCACTCAAGCGATAATCGAGTTTCCAGTGTCCCCGAGACGACTCGTCTGTCCACGATTCTAACACGCGTGTATGTGACCGCATAAGTAAATACGAACTATCGTGCCATGGGACAATGCACCTTGTCAACGGGACCTCGAATATACAGCAAACCGAACGTTACTTATGGGTCATACGCGCACGATAGAGACCTCATCGTACCATGGCAAGCGTCTTGAACGATATGACACCAATCCACCAACCGACGGCAGTCACTGTTTACCCACAAATAGTTTGTGGTTTCATGATGTGTAGCTGGACAGTCCAGTAGTTAAGTTTATTCAGACCCTTACGCAGTGGTGTGAGGAGTCAACTGTAATGACAAGAGCAAACGAAAGTGGTCGTGGTCTTACGAGGGCAAATCGGTACAAATGAGCTGCAGATTCGGGTAGGCCAAATCCCAGACCAATCAAACACTAAAACGGTCCAACAAATTCGCTTCATAGCCTAACGAAAACCATATTCCCTTAGTGATAAGCAGCAGTGAAGACATGCCGGTTTAACGGTCTTACGTGACGCAAAGTATGAAGAGTTAGGCACAAACTGCTCGACCGCAACCATTACAATGTCTGTTATTAGCTGGACAACCAGCTCGCTTAGCGGCGCAGCACGTGAGCCGTTTTGTTGTAACGTTTTGTTGTCTCGCGCACAAGACAATACAAACGGTTTCACAAGACGAGTATCCGCTCACGATTCACCGCAGAATAGTCAGTTACTACGCAATCAAACGGCGTTGACATTGATATGTTTAAAGGTACTAGAACCCAGGGGCCAAGCGTTGATGCACAAACCCGCTAGGGTGAGATAATAGGTATTACGTCTCTCTCAAGAAACCCATCTTCTCTGCAGGCAGGGGAACTTGATTACTGCGAATAGCATTTAGCAACATGTGGGATCTGAAAGGTTATCGTAGCATGCCACATTCTAGTGAACTCTGTTGTCAGGGCTCGCATTTCATCCGACAACCCATGGGTAGTAAGACAGAACCGGAAAACTGACCCGATTGCATCAAATTAAATTGAGTAATATCGTGGGGTTCAGCTCCGTAATGCATCAGAGTTGAAATAGGACGACAAATATGAAGGGTAAAAACACGTCATAAAAGAATGGTA